GCCATGCTGAGGCCGCGTCCCACATACAGCAACTAGAAGGATGTGCAACTATGACATACAACTATCTACTGGGGCTTTGGGGGAAAAAGAAAGAAAGAAGGGAAGAAAGGAAGAAAGAAAGAAACTGATTAAAGCTATGCACTCTCTCCCCAGAGTCCAGGTATATAGACACATAACTGTCCATATGATTTCAGGGGATATGCCATTCACCAAGGCCCATCTATTAATCCTAAAATAAGAATCCCTAATGTCATATATTGATAAGAGCTTCCACTTGAGCACATAGTAAGTGCCAGCACAGCCCCTAAGTGTTTGACGTAGAATTATCTCATTTAAGCTTCATAGTAATTCTATGAAGATAGATTTTATTATTTTACAAATAGATTTATTTAATACAAATACAAATAGATTTATTCTTTTTACAAATAAAGAAACTTACCCAAGGTATGTGTATTTACTCAGGTGTCCATTGTGAATTCGACGTGTCTGTGGCAGTGCTACCCAACATTTTTTCAAGTCATGGACCATGGAAAATTACATTTATATGGTACACGGGGGTACATGGGTGAGGCTGCTCACAGTATTCCTGCAGTGGGCTAGGGTACTCTGGCCATCCTAGGTTGCAGCCAGCCAAATGGAAAGCTAAAAGACTGCTATCTTGGCACTCTAATCTGTTCCAGTCACACCAGGGTGGAGGCATGCCCATTGGGAAGACTTATTGTGAGAACATATGCATATGTGTTGGAGTCTGAGCCCATATGTCTGTGCACAGAAGGGCTGGGCTTGTGAGGTGTGGATGAGCAGCAAGCTAGACAAGCAGGTGGTGGCACAGGGTAGGAGGTGGGAAGAGGACCCGGGACAGTCACGGGTGGGTCACTCATGGGTAACAATTGGGAGAAATTTGGCCACGGCACCTGCTAGTTTTGATCCTGTGCCACCTGCCAGCCCTGCTCCCACAAACTGGCTTCATCAGTGATAAACCACATCCACGTCCACAGGAATCTCAAAACCACCTGATGTAGGTTTGTGGGGCAGGATTTTTATCCCCATTTTACTAGTAAGGAAATTAAAGCTAGAGAAGTTAAGTGACTCACCCAAAGTCACACAGTTAATAAAAGGACAAAAGCAAGAAAGGCCCCAACTTTGAGCTGAGTGTTCTTTCCTTCATACCCACAGTCTGCCGTATTGTGTTATCTTCATAATCTACCTGAAGGCGCTCTGTCATGACAGGGAATGAACACGGACCCTGAGCACACGGCCTACAAAAAGCTCTGCTCCAGCCTTTTGCTCAGCCATTTTTCCTTCCCCGACCTCAAACTTAAACCCAAACTGTCAACTTCAACCCTGCTTCCCTCTCCTCTTGAGGGTCCCGGGGCTGTGTTTCAGAGGTTCTTCTTGAATATAACTGGACTGAGTCAACAGCTCTGTGTTCAAGTCCTGGTTCTACCACTAAAGAGCTGTGAGGCCTTGGTTTAGCCACCTCAGTTCTCTGGGTTTCAATTTCTTCACTGAATATCAGTAGTAGTAAAAATAACAACTGGCACTTGAATAGTTTTACAGTTTAAAATCACTTTCATATCAATTATCTAATGGGATTATCATCCCTTTTTACAGATGAAAAAACTGAAGGCCTCAGAAGTAAAATGAGTCCAAGGTTACTCAGGAAATGGCAGAGCCAAGATGTGAATGAACCCTGGCCTAACTCACATCTAATTCCTTTCCTCTCCACCTAGTGCATTTCCTTAGCACCTTAGAATTCTGCAGCCCGGCTGGAGGTGGGAATTGGGGATGGCAGAGTGAATAGAAACCCCACTCCTTGTCCAACCAAACTGCTTCAAAGACAAGAGCAGCAATTCTACACCATAACTCTTCCACACACCCGAACCCGATTTTCGTGGAGGCTGTATTATAAAAATCTGGGCTCTTGTCCTGGCTCTGCCACTGACCTCTGTATGACCCTGGACCACTTATTCACCTTTCTGCATCGCAGCTTCCCTGTTAGTAAATTCTAGAAGTGAGACTAGAAGAGTCATTGCAGCTCTGATAACCTGATTCTTCTTACAGTGCTAGGACACTGCCAGAATTTTCCTACAGCAACACCATTGTGCTTTTTCTTTAGTTTTCCTACTTTAACAGGCATGTGACAGTCTCTTAGTGATGTGAATTTGTACTCACTTGGTTTTTCAAAATTTCTGCACTCCACAGATCACTTTATATGATAGAAGGCAGACTCTGTGAGGAGGACATGGAGCAGTTCCCTAGCCCTGACAGAGACCAGAAAGGCCTGGACGTGCAGCTGGAAGCAAAGGCGACGCAGGTCTCTGGGATGCTTCCCTCCCTCCCTCTGAGCATCAACTCGTGGACTATGCACTGGGACACCTTTGGGACACTTGTTGCTATCCACAACTCCCCTCATTCCTCTGACCAGCTTGGGGTGATGGCCAGTGGTTCACGAGGGACTAGAGGTTACCTGGCCACTGTGTGGTACGGTAGAAAGAGCATAGGTTTTAGCATCTGGCCAAAGTTCACATCCCTCCTCCTGGCAATCATTCACTATGTGATCTTGGGCAAGTTATTTAACCCACTGGAGCCTAAATTTCCTCATCTATGAAATGGGGATAGTATTACGTTCCTCACAAGATGGTTATGAAAATTAAACGAGATGATGAATCAAAAGCACCTGGCATGTGAAAGCTATTATTCTAGGCTGTTTTCCTCCCACCCACACCTGGCATTTGCTCCAGCTCTTAACTCTCCAGAACTAAGGGGGAGCAGAGGCCTTTGGATGAGCGGTTCACTCTCTTGTACCTGCCCAGCACAGGTGAACTATAAACCTACTTACTGCAGTAGCAATAAAAAAGTACCTTATATTTGTATGTATCTCTATTAACTTCTAAAGTACTTTCTCAGATAATGATTTCATTTTTAACAAGTGGGACTCAAGAGAATAGAGATGGAACTCATCTGATTTTGCTCATATTCTGCTTATATTCATACTGCCACCTAATTTGAAATCACACATAAATTGAGAAACAATCTGATTATAAAATCTGAGCTTGGAAACAAAAACTTTTTGGACAAGCATTTGGATTTGATAAGCCATTGAGAGTAACCTCATTTCAGTTAGGAGGGATCTTTTACTTCTAATTGCATCAAGCTCCACTGTAGACAATGTTAGCTCCTGAGCCCCTTCCTCCAGGATGATCCATCTAAGAGCTAAGACCCCTTTGCAGTGATCCATCTAAGAGCTAAGACCCCTTTGCAGTATCAGACTTCCAACTGTTCTCCCGGTCTTGAGCCTCCTCCTTCTAATTTGTTGTTGCAGAGAGAGCTCAGAAATACAAACCTGACCATGTTATTAGCATTTAAAACCCTTTAGTAACTTCCCACTACATACAAGATCAAATCAAAATTCTTCTGCCTGACTCACAAAACCCTCCCTAATCTGGCTTGCTTTGTTTCGCTTTGTACTAGAACTGGAGCAGGCAGAATTTTTCTGTCAAGGGCTATATATTAAATATTTTGGGCTTTGCAGGCCAGGTCTCTGTCACAAGCACTCATCTCTGCTGCTGTAGCATGGAAGCAGCCGTAAACAACATGTAAAGAGATGAGCATGGCTGTGTGCCAATAAAACTCTACTGGCAGTGGGCCACATCTGGCCCAGAGGCTAGAGAGTGCTGACTCTGATCTAGAACTAAACTCCATTTTAAAATCTGTTAGATGTCCTCCTAAAACTGGGCGAATGGAAACTGACCATTCTCTGATGAACTATTTTTCTTATGACACAAAGGAGTCAGAGTGCTCATGATCATTTTAATCACAAACTGTTAACATATAGATTAACATAAACTTCAGATGTCACGGAAACAAGTTCCACAAAATTCAGAAATAACCAGTATCAGTGAAACTGGAGCAAGCATTTTGGAAACTTCAACGCACTGGATGGAACTCTTCAAGAATTTCACCATAAGTTTTCTTATCTATAAAAGGAAAGATCACAAAAGATTTATTTTTAAAACTATGTTTAAAAAATCATATTTCCTAAAGCAAAATTAATACTTAATATTCTTATAGATAGAAACGTCTAAGAATTTCCTTATTTTCTAGTCCTCAACCATGGCTCGGCAATCACTGAGACATTTTGTTCTACTGAATGAAGAAAAACTTTGGAAGAACCTGTGGTGACATCCAGATGGCTACCTGGAGGGGCAAAGTGCTGCCAGGGGGATCCTGGCTGAGAGGCAATGAAGGAATGGGACAGGGAGGGGCAGAGATCAGTGGGAGGGGCCAGGAGGTGAGGTGGTCAAACTCTCCATGCTCAGTGCATGAGGCTCTTGGCACCCCTGCCAGTAATCTGCTCAGAGACAGAATGACAGAGGAAGCTAGTGGACATGTGGAGGCAAGGAGCCGGAGGTCTGGAACTGAGGACTGCTCTGCCACTGGGTCTCACTCTTAGGAATCAATATGCCCAAGATTCCTTCCAGCTCTAACATCCAGCAGCCCTGAGTATTCCCCATCTCTGATACTTTCACTATTCATGGCTTTACCTTTTTGATCCACCATAAACATCACATAGGTGATTGAAGGCTATGGGAATATTAAATAGAGTAATAAAATCTTAGAGCTAAATAGGATCTTAGAGATCATCATTCAGTCTAATGAAATTTAAATACTTAATATTACACATTTACTTATATATGAATATCTATTTAAAAATCTATATATTTACAAGTTCAGAATTGTCTACACTCATTCATTCACGTGTATGCACATGTATATGTGTGTAAAATACAAACAAGAAAATAGTTCTATTACAATTATATTCCTAGTTGCACAGATATAAGCAGGAGGATATAACCTGAGGAAATTCCTGTCTGTAGTTGGGTGAAGTCTTCATTAAGATAATGGATCCTGAGCAGGAATTTGCTAGGTGGACAGGGTGGAAATGGGGCAAAGGGAGGATCAAGAAGTATTGCATGTATAAAGTGATACAGGGCAGGACACAGCATTTCACAAGGCAGGAGAAGAGCGATGGGAGATGAGCAGGGTTCTGTATAGTTCAGTTCAGCTATTATTTTTTGTGTGTGTGAGGAATATCAGCCCTGAGCTAACAACCGATGCCAATCATCCTCTTTTTGCCGAGGAAGATTAGCCCTGGGCTAACATCCGTGCCCATCTTCCTCTACTTTATATGGGACGTCGTCACAGCATGGCTTGACAAGCAGTGCATCAGTGTGTGCCTGGGATCTGAACCTGCGAACCCCAGGCCGCCGAAGCAGAGCACGCGCACTTAACCACTACGCCACCGGGCCAGCCCCCCGGTCAGCTATTATTTATTAAGTGACTACTATGCAGAAGCTGGGGAAACAAAGATGAAGCTATAGTCCAGTGAGGGACACAGACACGTGTATGCAGTGTGGTGGATCAAAGGTAAGGTGTTTCTACCAGGCAATTAGTTCAGCCTGGGGAATCAGCCATCCTCTGAGTCTGGATTTTATCCTATAGGCAATGGATAGCTATTTTAAGGATATCCATATTTATCCAGAGAGACATGACATAGAGGCAAGTGCAACAGTCCAAGCAAGAGATTATCTATCAGGGCCTGACCCAGGTAGTGGCAGTGGGATAGAGGAGAGTTCAGGGTTTAGAAATATTTAGGAAGTAGAACTGGTAAGACTTGATGATTAATGGGAAGTGAAAGAAAAGACTTGAAGATGATTCCCATGCTTCTGGCTGGTGGGCAGTAGTGCCATTCACTGGAGCCGGACACAGAAGAACAAGAGGTCTGGGCAGGCAGAGGGGACATGAGTTCTGCTCGCTGTCTGAGGGACACAGAGGTACTCAGCCAGAAAGTGGATATATGAATCCAAGAGAATTCTGGTATAGACAAAGATGTGGGAGTCAATAGAATATAGAGGGCACCTGAAGTCACAGGCATGGATAAAATTAACCAGGGAAAATGACAGAGTAAGAAAGACGTTTTCTACAAGTAACTTGAAATACCTTTTTCAGGAAAATCCTCCGGATGTGATTTTACATACGAAAACATATCATGGTCCCTCAAAGCATACATATAGTCTTGACGTTTTAAAAGATAATATCCAACAAAAACAAAGGAAGTAACATATAGAAGCTGGCGATGCAAACCTGAAATTCAAATGACAAATCCCAAAGAAAGCAAAAATTAGTCAATGTATATTTAAAATTACATTTTTACATTTCAGATATATAACATTATTATTTCTTCCAACATTCTTTTAAAAACAAGGCTTTTCTGTGTGGCTATTCTGAACTAGTAGCCTTGACCTTGAGATGTCTTCCTAAAGAAATCTGGCCATTATGAAAAACAACATTATAGGGGCCAGCCCCGTGGCTTAGCGGTTAAGTGCGCGCGCTGCGCTACTGGCGATCCGGGTTCAGATCCCAGGCGCGCACCGACGCACCGCTTGTCCGGCCATGCTGAGGCAGCGTCCCACATACAGCAACTAGAAAGATGCGCAACTATGACATACAACTATCTACTGGGGCTTTGGGGAGAAAAAGAGGAAAAAAAAAAAAAAGGAGGAGGATTGGCAATAGATGTTAGCTCAGGGCCAGTTTTCCTCAGCAAAAAGAGGAGGATTGGCATGGATGATAGCTCAGGGCTGATCTTCCTCACAAAACAAAACAAAAAAAAAAGAAAAACAACATTATGCCTACAAACATAACTATCAACAGAACCCAAGATTTTTTTAAAATTCAGGTTTTATAAATTTCTTCATGTAAAAATGTGGATAAGTACAAAATCCTGAATGCTAGACTGAGAACAGAATTTTTTTTTTCTTTTTCAACAGGTGAACTTTAGATCTAAGCTAACTTGTATTCCAGGACCTGTTCAGGATGTGATGAGACAGGTTGAGTCCTGTACAAATGGTCGAAAAGCCATTTGGTTTGTCTCCATATACCAATTTATATTTGCATATTTACTGGTTACTAAAACAGCCAGCTACACCACAAATATATCTCAACTGTCTCTTGTACCTTCTAAATTTTGTACTATGTGCAGGTATTACCTATTCAAAACCTCTATTTTAAAAATCATCCTAGACTGGGGAGGGTCTAATCATATGATCTAAGGGAAGCCAAAACTGAAGGGGAGATCCAAAGGTATGAATTTTATGGAAACATTTTTTGCAAAAGGCTAACTGTAGGTTTGATTCTAGCTATGCTCCAGAATTCTATCCCCAGCTTTTTTTTTTTATTAGGTATTTATTTATTTATTTATTTTTTTGTGAGGAAGATCAGCCCTGAGCTAACATCCATGCCAATCCTCTTTTTGCTGAGGAGGACTGGCCCTGAGCTAACATCTATTGCCAATCCTCCTCCTTTTTTTCCCCAAAGCCCCAGTAGATAGTTGTACGTCACAGTTGCACATCCTTCTAGTTGCTGTATGTGGGACGCGGCCTCAGCATGGCCGGACAAGCGGTGCATGGGTGCGTGCCCGGGATCCGAACCCGGGCTGCCAGTAGCGGAGCGCGCGCACTTAACCGCCACGCCACGGGCCAGCCCGCCCCAGCCCTCTTCTTATCCAACACATATTCCTTTGGAGAACTCATTTATTCCTATAGTTTTATCTACCGTCCATGTACTGGTGACTCATTACGTCCAACTCAGACACCCTCGCTGGAATAGCTATA